TTTATTAAACTGAACAGAGAAGTAAATTAGCACAATTTGAAGTGCCTGTTTCACTCCAGCTTGTTGATCTCTGGTATGATTTCCTCATTTTTTTACTTATGAAGATTATGGCTTTTTATAGTTCTAAAAATTCAGGTTTGTCCCAGACTGCAAATATGAGAGGTTCAAAAACAATAAGGGAGAGACTCATATCTCAGAATAATTGCTTTAGCCTGGCAAACAATAGACTTTGGACTTTCTTTAAAGAAACACTGTGTAAAATCCAAAGTCTATTGTTTGCCAGGCTAAAGCAATTATTCTGAGATATGAGTCTTATTGTTTTTGAACCTGTCACATTTGCAGTCTGGGCCAGACCTGAAGTTTTAGAACTACTAGCTGGACTTACCTGGCATTGGCCGCCAGTTGTCAGGACAGGAGAGAGCACAGCTCTATGTCGTCTTTCACGTGCAGCTGCGAGGTGTTGGCAGAGGTTGTCTTCAAAATTTGTCACTGCTTTCCTCATAAGGGAATGCCAGTTAGTCCTGCCTGCAGCAGCTAGTTGAAACTGTAGAGGTTGAAGGCCTGTCCACTGCAAGTTGTTCTTCAGGTTGTCTTTATACCCCTTCCTCGGATGTCCCTGTTTGCGACTACCACGTACCAGCTCCCTGTAGAACAGCTGCCTCGGGATCCTGCTTTTGTTCATGCGGAGAACATGGCCAGACCATCGAAGCTGGGTCTGGAGGATCTTGGCTTCGATGCTTGTGGAACTAGCTCTATCAAGCACTTCTTGGTTAGTAATTCGGTCCTGCCAGTGTACTCGCATGATTGATCATAGGGAGCGCATGTGAAACTGCTCCATCTGCTTAATGTGCCTATGGTACAGGGTCCATGTTTCACAGCCATACAGGAGAGAGGTGAGGACCATGGCATTATATACCTTGAGCTTAGTTGAAAGGTGAATATCTTTGTGCTGGAGAACTTTAATACGCAGTCTCCCAAGCGCCTGGCTGTCTTTCTGGATCCTTGCTGTAATCTCTTTGTCAAGAGATCATTCGCTTTCTGGATCCTTGCTGTAATCTCTTTGTCAAGGGATCATTCACTTGATATTGTGCTGCCCAGGTACTTAAAGCTGTCCACTACTTTCAGTTGTGTGCTATCGATAGTGATGCATGGCTGTGGAGGAGCACTGTTTGGTGTAGGCGGGAAGAGGACTTCTGTCTTTCCGAGGCTAATTGCAAGACCGAAAAGTTTGAATGCTTCAGAGAACCCTGTCAATGATGGTCTGCAGGTGGTTCTCTTGGTGTGCCATAAGGGCGCAGTCATCAGCAAACGGCGCTTCGGTGATAAGCCTCTCCAGTGTCTTGGTCTTTGCAGTAAGGCGTCTCAAATCAAACAGTGAACCATCCAAATAGTATCTGATGTAAATACCAAGATCTAGGTCTCTGACAGCATGCATGAGGACTTGAGTGAGGAACAGGTTAAAAAGCACCGGGGTGAATACGCAGCCCTGCTTCATGCCATTGGAGATGTTAAATTTCTCAGATGGCACACCATCCGAGAGTACCTCTCCTGTCATGTCATCGTAAAACAGCTTTATGAGTGAGAAGAACTTCGGTGCGCAACCCAGCTTCCTGAGGATGATCCACAATGTATCTCAGTTAACCGTGTCGAATGCCTTCGTCAGATCAATGAAAACAGAGTAGAGGTTCATATTCTGCTCAAGGCACTTCTCTTGCACCTGTCTCATTATGAAGAGCATATCGACAGTACTGCGATTAGGGCACAAGCTACATTGTGACTCGGGGAGACTCACTTCTGAAACTGTCGCAATTAGCCTGTTCAGGATGATGCGGGTGAAGATTTTCCCGGCAACGGAAAGCTGTGAGATACCTCTGTAGTTCCCGCAGTCAGCTCTTGCACCCTTATTCTTGTACAGAGCAACTATCATGGCATCACGGAGGTCAGATGGCATTTCTTCCTCTTCCCAAATACTGGTCAAGACATTATGAAAAACCTTAAGTGACTCCTCATTAAATGCCTTGTACAGTTCTGCAGGAATTCCATCCTTGCCGGATACCTTGCCGGAACTCATCTGACTGATGGACTTTCTAACTTCGTCAACAAATGGAGGATCTCTGTTGGTTTCTGAGGGATCTGTTCTCCAGTGCTGGCTGACTGACTGATGATGGATGATTCAGGAGCTGACTGAAATATTCTTTCCATCGGTTATTAATGCCAGCCTTATCCCTGATCAACGTGGCTCCGTCTGCAGACAATAAGGGGGCAAAGCCAGACTTGGAAGGACCAAAGACTGACTTGATGGAGCTGAAGAACTCCCTTGGGTTGTTTAAGTCAGCATAGTGTTGCACTTCTTCAGCTTTCTTCTCCTACCACTAATCGTGATTTTTCGGATTTCTTGCTGAGCCTGGGCCTGGAGGAACTTAAACCTGTCTTTCTTAGAGATGGAGCCTGGGTCTCCATAAATGCCTTGTTCTTCTTGGCAACCAGGTCCTCAATAATACTGTTGTTCTCATCAAACCAGTCTCGATAATTGAATTTCTTGTGACCAAGCACTGACTTCGCCATCTCCATCACCATTTCTCTAAACTGGCTCCACTTCTGAATTGGACCTCCAATCAATGGTCCGTTGGCAGTCAACTTTTCATCAAGGCTTGACTGGAACTTGCGCAGATGAGAAGGCTGCTGGAGTCTGGCAATGTTAAAGGCTGTTTGGATGAGCTTTGGGTGCTTTGGGTGATGCTGAGTGATGTGTATTTTGAAAATGGTGTGGAGAAGCCTGTGGTCAGTCCAGCACTCTGCTCCTTGCATGGCTCTGGTGATAAGGACATCCTGAATGTCACGCTGATGAACAATGACATAATCTATCATGTGTCTTTGTTTCGATCTAGGATGCATCCAGATAGTCTTGTATTTGTTTGCCATCCCGAACACTGTGTTCGTAATGAGGAGGTCATGTCCTGCACATTTGCTCAGCAGCAATAAACCATTGCTGTTCATCTTGCCAACGCCACGTTTGCCTAACACTCCCTCCCATTGACTGTGGTCACAGCCAACTCAGGCGTTGAAGTCTCCCAACAAGATCAACTTGGCTGGCACTGAGCACAGAAAGGAACTGAGGTCGATGTAAAACTGCTCAATTGTCTCCTTTGTGTTGTTCATGGTGGGGGCATATGCACTGATGACTATTGCATATCGCTTGTGACTAAGGAGTAGGCGTAGCTTCATGAGCCTCTCGTTAATACCGACAGGGAGGTCTGAAAGTTGTTTCATCAGACTAGTCTTGACGGCCAGGCCGACTCCATGGATCCTTTCCTTATTCTGTGCTTTCCCTTTCCAGAGAAGGTATAACCACTAGCTAGTTCAGTGAGAAATCCTTCTTCAGCAAGCCTGGTTTCACTCAAGGCAGCGATATCAATACCATAGCGTGAAAGCTCTTTAGCGACTAGGGCTGTTCTCCGATGAGATCTTACTGTGTCCTCGCTGTCCATGAGTGTATGGATGTTCCATGCTCCCATTACCAACTTCTTTTCTTTGCACAACATAACCTGTGCATGAAAAATATTATAGTGGGAAAGCCTTTGCACAGAGATAATCCCACTCTCTTGGCCTCAAAAGTAGAAATCCATTGACATGAAAAAATCGTTACTTCTGGAGACTACCTCAGCTGCATTGGATGGCCATGTCATCTTAAATGATCTGACATGCCCCACGCACTCCATAGTGCGCTGCTGCAATGCCTTCTCAGCCACTGAATCATAAGAATTTCCTCTACCTGATCCATTGAAGCAGTCTTCGCATGCTGTGATGAGCAAGTCCCTAACTCACCGAAGGTTTCAGACCCACCGGCTACCCTAATCTGGTTTAGTCTGGAGTGTGGCCATTGCCGCATGCAAGGCAACTACGTGGAGCCACAGGTGAGAGCTGGGTGCCGGTAAAAATCAATAAAGGATGGGCCACTCCCAAAGAAGTGTGACAAGCCCTCCTTTAGAGGTACTACCTTGCAACCCCATACATTTGCTGTTAATTTAAACAATTTAAGGGAGAGGCATGATTTTTAAATGAGGATAAGAAGACGCTGAGCTGAGAACAAAAAGGAAACAGTGGGCCACAAGCTCTTCTCTGCGAAGTAACATGGAGGGAAGCAAAATGGCCAGAAAAACTCAGTTATGTGAAAGAGAAAAGTGGGACTGCATTGACATGCTCTGCCTCCACCAGCAGACATTGTGGGAACACCTCCATACACACCTTTGGGGCTCTTTTAGCTTTGAAATGGTAGTAGGGAATTGTTGTTCTCCATGGAATGTTCTCCTTTCTGTCATGCAGATTTTCCCTGGAAAGTTGGTGAGGTGCAAATTTCTACTGTGTATATAGTGCAGCCACTGATCTCCACAACTACTCCCCTCTTTGAGGAGGTTGAAATGCAGAGGTGCTGCTGAAGTCCAATTGGTGCCATGGCTCCTAAGGGAGCCATGTCACTGTTAAAGAATAAAGATCAGAAAAAACTGGGGAGTGCAGATGTAGCCAGGTTTTCTTCAAAACTTAAGGATCCATAGGGTTTCCAGGCATTTTCTCCTCATTCTGACATAGATTACTATGCTGGTCCAGTCACGGCCCCCTCTCTCAAATTATTAAAAAAGCTATAGCACTGGGTGGTCTTTTATTCATCTGCATTCTGATTGGTTGAGAGAATCCATAAGCAATAAGAAATTTGTGTGACTAGCATGGAGCATTGATCATCTTTTTTATTGGCTAAGTTACCCAGTGAGCCAATAAGGTGTACAATATCTTAAGGTGTACTCATGCTGTCATGCCGGTAAAGGATATCATATTATTGTTTCAAATGACAGGATTATAAGAAAGAAAAATATCGTAGCTGTTGCTTTGTACTCTGTTGCTGTCCTTTGAAAATAACAATTAACATGCAGTCTAGTATTTGTCACATATGTATAATAAATTTGCCTTGCAAGCAGTTAATTTATATGCAAGTTTAAAATAGCATTTGGTTCTTACATTGTGTTTTGCTTTTCTTTTTTAGATGGTAGTCACGATAATTATTCTGTATGTGTCAAAATTAAGCAAGATTATTCACTTCCCTGACTTAAACAGAAGTATCCCTGTGAAGGTAAGAAATGTCTGGATTTTGATACAAGAAGGAAAATGTTACTCTTGTCGATAATCTTCATACTATGGTTTTTCAAACAACTTTTTTGAAGGAAGGTATAACAGAAAATTATCAACATTTTGATTTTTTCATATGTTCCATCAAATTTTATTTTTGCCTCAATCTGTTGTCAGTAGATTATTTTAGTGAAATTACATTATTTTGCATTTTACAGAGACAGAATTATGCAATTTGATTATGTAGTTTGTGTTGCCTGATCTAAGATTATGTTTAAATTTCTAATTACCCACCTTTATCCCAGGATCAGGCCCAGTATTCAATTATTCTATAATTGGGAACCCTGATGTTCACAGTTGCAACACACACACTATAGAAACTCTTGTATATTTACAAATATAGTTTATTAATACAGTTAGCACAGTCATAAACACCCCAGTTTCATAAGACAGTGAATATCCATCCATATTTCCGTACCATATACTTACACCATTCCATCTAGAACAATCTTAGGTGTTAGCCTATCATATTTCTCATTATCTTCACCTTCCCAGTCACCGGGGCCATCCTTCTGGCCCTTCCAAGGACTACACCTTCTTCTCCCTATCGCCTCTAGCCTGGGGTCCCACTTTTATACTATGTGACGCTGCTGCTGACATGTTTGTTGCATATTTGATGCATGTTTTTAATGTTGAAGTGTCCTTTTCCTATAGGTCAGTGTATCTTTGCTCTCAGCTGTTGTATATTGGGTTGTAGATATAGATCTTGTTGTTATAGTAACTGAGTAGGTCACTGGGGTCAGCACAGCTGGTTTGAGCTTGTTCTAGTTATTCTGTTCTATGCAATAAAATGGACACTTGCAACTACTCCAGCTCTCTGCATTTCCACTGATTTCTTCCTATACTGTACTGTAAAACTCCCCACGACATAACAAGTGGCGACGAGGATGGGATACCTGTGCTGCCTCCAGCAACAAAAGAAGTAGAAGTCAATGTAAGAAAACAAACTCTTTTTGGCTGTTCTAGAAGGTGGGGGTAAGAACTGACTGCTACACTGTGCAAACTGAAACTAAGATCAAGGAGCCCAGAGACTGAAAAAGAAAAAAGCAGGGGGAGTGCAGCAGCCATGGCTACACTTACAGGGCCACTGGGACCTTTTGAGGAGACTTTAGAGCAATGGCAAGTATATACTAAGCATTTTCAACTTTTTGTTATTGCAAATGACATTAAAGAAGAGAAGAAAGTGCCAATATTTTTGAGTGTTGTAGGGGCTAAGACCTACTCTCTGCTACACAGTTTGCTGCTCCCTGTTAAGCCAGAGACCAAATCTTACAGTGACATTGTGTAAATCCTGGGGTCACATTATGCTCCAAAACCACTGGTAATTGCAGAAAGGGATAGGTTCCACAACAGAGACCAAAAAGAAAGTGAAACAATTGTACAATTTGTAGCCAGTTTGAAAAAGCTTGCTGAACACTGTGAATTTAAGGAGATGTTAAATGATGCCATACGTGACAGGTTAGTGTGTGGCCTGCATAGTGAAGCTATACGGAGGTTTCTGTTAACAGAAGCTCAGCTCACCCTGCAGAAGGCCATTGATATTGCGGTCTCTATGGAACTGGCCACACAGGAGGCACAATACCTTAGTGCACCCCCTGGGGTGCATAAAATGTCCCAAGAACCTACTCTCAAAACAGTGGGGAGCCAGGAATGTTACTGCTGTGGTAAGCCAGGTCACCATGCATCAGAATGCTGGTGTAAGAACCTAGTGTGTCGACAGTGTGGAAAAAAAGGACACATTGAGCGTGCCTGCAAACAAAAGAAAAAGAGCCCGTGGTCTGGCGGAACAAAAAGGAAAATCTGCATACCATCGAGCAGATGCCTGATGATCAAAGTGATACCCTGTCTGAAGAAGAAGTGCCATGCTATGTTTTGTCTTTGGAAGGGGGCTCCCATGAATACTGGGTAACCCTACTGTTGGATGGCAAACTGGTATGCATGGAAGTGGACACTGGTGCAGCAGTTTCATTGGTCTCAGACACGGTGTATAAGGAAAAGTTGAAGCATCTTCCAATTAAGGCAACAAAGATCATTCTGAAGACATATACAGGAGAAGCAGTACCCCTATTGGGCACTACTGATGTTAAGGTGGAACTAAATGGACAGACTGCAGAATTACCACTGTTTGTGATAAAAGGCCATTACCCAGCCTTAATGGGGAGATCATGGCTTAGGAAGATCCCACTGGACTGGGCAGAAGTGCACCGGATGACTAAAGAAGAAAGAGGTCTGACTGATATATTAAAGAAACATGCTGTTGTTTTTGGAGAGGATCTGGGAAGTATGAGGGGAATCACCGTGAAACTGAACATTAAACCTGGTAGCCAACCAAAATATCTGAA